AGAGCCGTGACTGTCTGTCTCAATGCATGAAAAGGGCTGCACTGCATTCCATTACAGCGTTTCAGAACACTAGGGAATAGAATCAAGACCTTTCAGAAAGAAAGGCATCTAGCTAGAGGAGTAAAGCTACCCCTTCAGAATTCCAGATGTAGAATTCTACATCTGGAGAAACTGCATGAGGCTTGAAGAAAGTCATTCTATGTTCATAAATAGAACTCTTACGCACAAAGCAAATGGTTACTTATTAAACGCTAGTTAGTTGCTCTTGCAGCGGACCTGGGTTCAGTTCCTAGTATCTTCCTGGTACCTAACAACTGTCTCTAATTCCAGTTCTAGAGGATCCAATGCCTTCTTCTGGCTTCTGGCACACAAATCTATAAATAGGCAAAATGCTCATACCCATAAAATAAAAACTAAAAAAAAATTATTAAGTGGAAGTCATCTGTCTGTATTTTTGTTTGTTTGTTTGAGACAGGGTCAGTCTGTTGGCCAAGCTTCACTTTGTAGCCCAGGCTGGACTGAATTTGTGGCATCCAGCCAAGTCTCCTGGATTCTGGGATTACATATGTATACGTGTGTGTATGTGTGTGTGTGTGTGTGTGTGTGTGTGTGTGTGTGTGTGTGAAGGCCAGAGGTCAGCTTCAGGTATCTTCTTCTATTGCTCTCTGTCTTAATTTTTATAATTTAATTTTTATGTGTATGCATGTTGTACCTGCATGTATGTCTGTGCACCTTTTGTGTGTCTGGCACCTGCAGAAACCAGGAGAGAGTGTTGGATCTGCTGGACTGGAGTTACAGATGGTTGTGAGCTGCCATGTGGGTGCTGGGAATTGAACCAGGTCCTCTGCAGAGCATCTCTGAGTCATCTCTCCCTATCCCCCCACCTCAGTTTTTTTGAGACATAGTCTCTCAATGAACTTGGACCTCACCATTCCAGTTTGGGCTGGCTAGTGAGCCCTGCAGATCTGCTTGTCTCCATATCCCCCAGTGCTGGGTTTACAGCTGTGTGTTGCCTCAGTGTGTTTTGTGGATGCTGAGGATTCAAATTCAGGTCCTTGTGTTTTCACGGCAAACACTTTATCATGGTCAGCTATCTCCCCAGCCTAGTCTGTATCTTAAGGGGGTACCTGGAATGTATAAAATTGGAGCTGAGGGAAGTAAGTAGTGGGCAGGAGTAATATATTTGAAGTCCGTTCTTTAGCCTTAAATTATATTTAGGTCACCAATTTGGCCAAACCTCTGGCGTCTGATACTACAACACCAGAATGGGTAAATAGGAGCATCTCAAAGAGGACTGCCTTGTCGGGGTCACTATTGCTGATGAAACACCATGACCAAAGCAAGTTTGGGAGGAAAGGGCTTATTTGGCTTACACTTTCATATCATAGTCCATCATTGAAGGAAGTCAGGACAGGAACTCAAACAAGGGCAGGGACCTGGGGGTAGGAGCTGATGCAGAGGCCATGGAGGATGCTGCTTACTGGCTTGCTCCCCATGACTTGCTCAGCCTGTTCTCTTGTAGAACCCAGGACCACCTGCCCAGGGATGGCACCACTGACAGTGGACTGGGCCCTCCCCCATCAATTATTAATTAAGAAAATGTCCCACAGCCAGATCTTATGGAGGCATTTTCTCAGCTGAGGTTCCCTCCTTCCAGATGACTCTAGCCTGTGTCAAGTTAACATATTTTGTTGTTCTGTGGCCCTAGCTTCCTCTTTCCACCATATTCGCCATTGTAACTGAGGACCAGCTTCCAATATTGCTGTTGCCAAATCTTTCCAGTCTTGGGGGTTAATTCTGTTCTGAGTTGCCCATGAATTTAATATCTGCTCCACATAGGGTGAATGAATATCATAAAAAATGACTGCTTCCTTAAATCTCCTCAAAGCTAATATTTCTATAGGATTCCATTTAACTTCTTCATAACCTTGGGGGTGCCTATTGTCTGCTGGTCATTCTTGTCTAGTAACTAGATAAACTAAGGTTGGTTTTCTAACAACTTTGGGATGCCCCTCTTCAGTTTTATCATGCAGTGATGCAGTAGATTCTTGTCTAAATTCCTCTGTGTCTGAGTATTTTTCTTATTGTCATTTATATGTCTTTCTAAGGCTTGTATCTTGTCAATCTACTTTTCATGTTTGGCACAAAAAACCACTATGGCTATTAAAGATAAAATATGAATTACCAGACTGGTAATTATAATTGGTATTCTGTCAATCTCAGCTAGGTTGTTTATCTTTTCATTTTCTGCTTCTATTTTCAAGCCATCTGAAGCAGCACAGATGGCTACAGGGTCCTAATTATGATATTTCTCATCCTTAATGTGGGAAAGATTTTTCCTTTTACCATTACTTGACTCTCTCCTTGAGGACTTCCCAGGTGTCTTACCAAATCTGATGGTTTCTCAGCTTGTCCACAGCTGGCATGATTCCTCTGTCTGTGCCACGAGATAGAGCGCCAAATGTTTTTTTTAACAAAATTTCAATCATTTGATTTTACCAATAAAGTCTCAGGAGCCAGATGCTGGGGTGGAAGCCTGCTAGTTCAGAGGCAGAGAAAGCACCCCGCTGACCTTCCTCCTCTGCTAATGTCCCAGAAGCCTTCTCCTTCTACCTCTTCAATCACCCTCCTCACACTGAATGGCCCTCCCTTCTCCTTCCTGTGCGTCTCTCTATCCGTCCTCCTGACTCCCTCTTACTCTCTATGGCGTTTTTCTTCATAATTCTGTGTTCACTTCCTGCCAACTGGTTGCTTGCTCCACCTCTTGACCTATGGTTGACTTTATTTAATCCTGTTGACAATATTCAAGCGGAAAGCTCTTGAATTAAAGGTATATGCTAGGGCTGAGCCACACCACAACTAGAAACAGTTTTTTTCCAGTAAATAACACAATCTTGGGGTTCACACTGTGATCAAAGATCCTGCCATAGCCGGGCGGTGGTGGCGCACGCCTTTAATCCCAGCACTGGGGAGGCAGAAGCAGGTGGATCTCTGTGAGTTTGAGGCCAGCCTGGTCTACAAAGTGAGTTCCAGGAAAGGCGCAAAGCTACATAGAGAAACCCTGTCTCGAAAAACTGAAAAAAAAAAAAAAATCCCGCAACATCTCTATGAGGCATGGCAGTCATTGTAAATATAATGCAGATCAAATATACACTCAAATTCTTTAGCAGTTCCCTATAAAATTAAAATATTTCTCAATGTTGGTAGCATCCTCAATTAGCTGACCTTGACCTTGTTTTCAAGGTCTGCTTCCTAGTGCCTACTTTACTCTTCTTTGTGTCCAGATCCTTGGAATTTACTTAATATTATTGATTGATATTATAATCAGTCTCCATTCCTTTTTCAGTGCTAATTCCCTTCTTGTTTACCTGATCAACTTCAATCAGCCTTTCACACTTGGTTCTGGAGACATTTCCTGTGGGAATATCTTGTCTCCCTCTTATTTTCCAAACCTTATAGTATCAGGTATTTACTCCTTTGAGGTTAACAGTGTATAATGAATTTAATCATATACTATATTACCGATTTTGTATGACTACTGATCTTCCTCATTAGAGAGTCAGCTACTCTATAGTTGCGATGGCTATTCTTGGTTGTCAACTTGATTATATCTCGGATGAACTACAATCCAGAAATGGAGGGCACACTTGTGATCTGGATCTTGAGACAAGAAGACAACATGCCTTTGATCTGGATCTTGAGGCTGGAAGACACAGGCCTTTAATCCAGATCTTGAGGTGGGAAGATACAAGCCTTTAATCCAGATCTTGAGGTGGGAAGATACAAGCCTTTAATCCAGATCTTGAGGTGGGAAGACACACCTTTAATCCAGATCTTGAGGTGGGAAGACACACCTTTAATCCAGATCTTGAGGTGGGAAGA